GTTGCTCGCTTCGAGCTATGGGCTCCTGTCACCATGCACTCGAATGGAAGAGAAATTTCGTATCTCCGCGCGACCATGTAATATCCTCTATATATCAAATACCTTGAACCATAGTATTTAAAAAAAAAAAAAAAAGGTCCAGGTCGCTAAATTTTTCAGGCATCGGTAAATTCTCCACATCTCAAAGTTCTACTAACTACTAAGTCACTTAAAACAGGGCTTTTAAAAATAATAATACAGAATTTGCGCGGCTAAGTGGGTTTTGAATTAGCATTCTGTCTTGACATGAGTTAAGGAAAAAAAATAAATGCAAATTATTCCTTTAAAGCGAGGGAACGACACGTATGTAAGCATCGATCAGAGCTTCTTCTATAAGCATGTTTCGGGAAGAATTTCAATTAAAACATTTCAGGCTGTGGCATTTGGTGCGTCGGGACTTCAGTGACTCAAAGGTTTGTGTCTTCAGCATAAAAATTTCCAATTTGACTCATTTTTAATGTTCTTTAATTCACAAATTTACAGCTGGATAGATAATTAGTCATGCTCCCAGCTCAAATACAAAGTTTTCGTTCTGCTTTGTGTAATTATAAACTTGTTTAAAACCTTGGTTCTCTGCCATGAAAAATCGGTCAAACCTATTTGATGAGGGAGGAAGAAGGAGACGGTGCCTACACCATGACCATTAGTATCTTACTGCAACGAACACACCTATCTAGTATCTTCTTCCCTATATTAGTCGATCCGCTTATTTGTAGTGCGCTTGAAAACCTAACAATCAATCTATACAAATTCAACACCCACACTTATTGCAGGAGAACATTTTTTCAATAATCTAGAATTTTTAAAGTTCGATCGCTCACAGTGATTCGAAATTCGAGGAGAGATATAAAATTGTTGTAACTGTTTGGTCATTTGTTCTCTTGTTCAATATTATAATCAAGACATTCTTTCACCACAAAAGTAACTAAAGGCTGATTTTATTGAGACATTAGGAACTAGATAGAACTACAGAGTACTGGCCGAGGGACGGAAAGTTTACTGCCTTGGTTGACCTTACCGACCCTGTTTTTGTTCAAATGACGGAGGGATAATCATGTTAACAGGGAGTTTTGTCTCGTTTTCTTAAACTTAAGTTTACTAATCATGTTTTACTTAATGGCCAGAGATATGACGGTCAATTTAGGAAATGAAGCCGTAATGTTGCTGAAATGATTGCTTTTGTTTCTGTAGTGGCTTCCACTACCAGTATTCATTGCCTATCGCCTCATCGTCCTAGTTTACATTTTTGCATGGCTCATCTACAGCATTTGCAGGAGTGGAGGTAAACTTTTCATCTACCTTACAAACTGGACTTTTACTCTGCTAAACGTCTATTTTATTGTGGCAACGATTCTGCCCTGTATTGCCTTATTCAAAGACGTGAAAAAGAAACGGGGAAAAGAGACATCCGCGTTGGAGATGGCAGTGGAGTCCAGAGACGAAGTGGATGAACCACTTGTGGGCACACAAGAGAAAGATGCTTTGCAGTGGCAACACAAGTTACTCTGGCTCCTACACACAATCTCATCTACAGGCGGCCTGATTGTGACGGTGGGATACTGGACGGTGCTCAAGGGCAATGAAAAAGTCGATGCAAACAACATTACAAAGCATCTGCTCAATTCCGTATTCATGGTTATCGACATGTGGCTAAGCCGCGTCCCAGTCCGTCTGATCCATTGCTTCTATGTCTTTCTGTACTTCATCGTGTATATCCTTTTCTCTGTCATTTACTGGCTATTGGGTGGGACCAACGTTGAAGGGAAGCAATACATCTACGAACCATTGAATTACAACCACCTCGAACCGAGAATTGCAGGCCTTTTGGTCCTTTTTCTGCTCGTGGTTTTACCTTTACTGCATTTGTTTTTCTTTGGGCTTACCAAGTTACGAGATCACCTTTATGAAAAGTTCACTGCTAAGAACACATATTATTAGACTTGGTTAACAGCCATTATACTCGGTCGTGAAATTTTGAGATGGAAGAGATGACCGATTTGTACCAGAATCTCTCCTTCCTTTTTGAGAAAATTTTATGAACCTCGAGGGGTTTCAATACGGGGGGGGGATATACTTTAGGGATTTTTGGGTGGGAATGTGCCGCTGGGATCCTGGAACCCTTAGCCAATACTAGAGCTCGTTCAAGGGACTTTTGCTACCCTATACTAGACTAAACTCCGAAAATCCCCCCCCCCATCCCACAGTAGCTGTTTTCCAGAAACCACATCAAAACCGATTTGATTTTTTCATATTTTTGACTGGCAATTCCCGGTTTCCCTAGTCTAGACTAACATCTTCAACCAATTGATCAGTTTCCTGGAAAATGATACCCTATTCTAGACCTAAACTCTCTGATTTATATACCCTATCCCAGAGTAAACTGATTTAAAACCATACCCTTCACAGCGGCACATACCTATTTCAATGCCTGGGTCAAAGGTGTGTTCTGAGCATAAGAATGATTGGCAATATATCTCGCTAGGAGACCTAGAACCAAATGAATTTTTTCCGCAAAAAGTATATCTTGAGGGTTTCTTGTGCCTTAACTAACGTTTAAAATAAAGGAAATTGGACAATTAAAATTGTTAGGATTAACAAATTGACATGTCTGAAAGAGGATAAACATACCTAGTAACTTTCTACGTTTCAAATGAATGTACGCGAAGTTTAAAATTGAAGTTTTAAATTTAAATTCAAGATTAAATTTGGGTATTTAAAATGACAAATTTCCTTATGATTTTTTATTGAAGTGCAAGGACGGTCATTCTAAACTGGAAGTGTTAGAAATATTTTATTATGAATTAGAAAAATGTTATTGCTCGATTTCTTTTTTTAAACTGGCCACCAGTTGCTCAATAATTTACGATTTTTAGCGAAATGGTTTCGTGACATACCATAGTGACAAAATATTTATACGTTTTAAAATGTTAAGGACGATGAGTTCTTTATGTGTGCCAAATTTTGATTCATTGACATCATCTATGCCGAAGTTATAGCCAATAATTCATTTTCCACAGGTAAACCCCTTAGTCCCAGGCCTTAAACTACTTGAAACCATCAGTTGCTGTGGTGAAGGTTTTCGAGTCCTGGAATTTTAGGTAGTGTTTATCTATAGCCTGGTTAGACTTTCCTTTCGTCGAAAATCCAAGGGGTGTGGGGAATATCCTAACCAATTTTATGGCGTCAAGGGTGTGGATTTGCATATATGTTCGGCTTAAAGTAGTAGTTTATATGTAAAAAGAAAAGGAAACTGATTTTTTGAGAAACTAAGAATTTGTGCCATGGACAGAATGAAAACTGAATGGCTTATCACGCGTACTCAAAAGAGACAGCATTTAAATATCCAATATCCAGAAACCTTGAATTCTGCTTCAAACTCGGGTGCTCCTTCTTTTTAGAAAGCCTGTCCTTATTTGAGCAGACCATGATTACATATTTAAAGAGAAACGGCATTTCTAAACCTCCCCTCCATACTAATTCGGGTATCTTTGAAACCGCTTTTGTTTTTTATACACGAATCGGCCCTCGTCCGTCCACACGAAACTGGACCATTGTCCAGGGTTGTTTTAAGACCCAGTACACACAAATCAAGGTATAATAGTATGCAGTTTCCCTACTCGTATGGAAGGGGTATAAGTTTTATCTTGAGTTTAATTCCCGAGGGCAATTTGCAGTGATTTTTGATTAAATTCACTTTGTTGTCAGACTTACACCTATGTCCAGTGATTCAGATGCCATTGATTATACAACGAGAAGGCAGGGCATGCGATGGGGATATGACATTTTTCAAAAATTCCCCGTCATATTCCCTGCCCACGGGTAAATCATTCCAGTCAGATGCAGACAAATTTGTTAACTTTGCTGCAATTCAGTCAAAGATACATCAGTTTCTTTTAAAATCTGATACAGCTCTAATTATACCTTAAATCTGAGTTACACTGCGTAGAATTTCACTAAATAGCAAATTCAACGAAGACTCTAGAAGGCAGTCCAGTCATTTTGTAAGTTTGAAATTTAATATAGCTTTCGTAGTTGTTTTTGTTAGAACAATTGCAAAATAGGATCATCTATACATCGTTTTAAAATCGGGATTATCAAATGCTCTGGAGTCTATTGCCATCAACTTTATTTCCACTTATGTTCAGGTTTCTAGTAAAAGCAATAACGGACATCTTTTATTTTGAAATGCGACAACACTGCGTCAAAAAAGTTTTAGCCCCGTGCATTTCAAAACTTACTGTATTAAGCATTAACCTTATACTGACTTCCATGATTTCCAGACCTTACAGCGCATTGAGTGCAGTGGGAAACGTATGATCGGTCAATGATTGGTCTCAGTCTTTGTCCGAGTCTGCAGGTTCAAATATCCCCTCCCCCGGGAGAGGAAGATCAGTCAATGCCCCACCCCAGGGCGAACTAAAACAATCAAATCCCCACCCCATGCCCCGCGCCCCTCCCCCGGGTGCATAAACACACTCGCTTTCCGGTACCTATCACAAAACTCTTCAGCTAGGGTGCTGTACAATGTCCACCTTGCACTTGGATACTAGAATTGGGCACCGATGTACACGCGTTTTCCCAGGGTTTCGAGGCGCCGGATCAATAATCCACTGATTTGCGTACCCATAACTGGTCATAACTCACTGCTGAGCATATTTTTGGGAAAGATGTCTGTCAGGGCTAATGAAGAAAATGTGCACACGGTTACAGTGAATAACACAAGGTGTATAAATGGGGTACCCAGAGTGAATAACTCCATGGCTATGTTATGTTTTACATGTAAGAGATAACTTAAAAACGATTAATATGCACTTTTAAATGCTTTTATTCCCTTAACAATGCCTGTACAAGTTTATAATATGATAATATGTCAACTTAAAACGAGCCTGACTGCACATCATCTTGAACGATATCTTCTAATTGTTGCCATAGTGACAGTGTAACATTTTCTTTGCGGTATCTCAGTGTTCAGCGACGGCCTTGAAGCATCTTTTGATGCGAACAAAACAGCATAATTCACCAGCACAAGTAGGACTCTGCTTCCTGCACATATACAGGAGAAACACGCAGCCTTTCTGCAATGAGATTTTTAAAAGAAAGATATTGAGCGGAGGAAAAGTTTAATTTTTACGCACCATCGCTCTGAGTTATGAAAGTTAATTTTGTCAAAGTCCAACCCGCTTCAGTGTTCTCTAAAAAAGTGATTCACCGGCAGTTATTTAGTTTAAAGGACGAGGATGAAACTCAGTCGAATTTCACGCATACAGTTTAAGATATTATACGTCCTAAATGTCAGTTATATTGTACATAGACCTTTCAGTGTGTCGTGAGATATGTCACCTTAACTTTTTCTTGAGAAAAATGCAAATTTAATAACTATTGACAGAGGTATAATAGGTAGAAATAATTCTTTCTAGCCTTTTCGTGAGCTTTACTCCTTGATATTACGGTTAAACAGGAAAAACGAAAACGAAGAAAATTGCCACATATTTATTTTTGTGTTTTTGCCTACTGTGCCGAACGGAATTGATTTTACAAAAACGTCTATTTAGTCAAAGGATGTTGGACTTTTGACTTCAAGATAAGATGCCCGAATATTACTTTTATAAAAAATTGATGATTTGAAACATTGAAAAAATATCAAGAAGAGAAGGGAGTAGGGCGCCGAAGGGGCCGGGGTGGGGCACTGGAAGGGCCGGGGTGGGGGGTTAATAAGAATCACAACAGTAGTAGCAGATAAACTGCTTTATCGTTTTACCTGAAGCGGTGGAAGAGATGGTAGAGGAGTAGGGTGGCTTTTTTTGATGCACTCGAAGAAGTTGTCGATACAAGCCAGTCTTTTGCAGGCGTCATGCCCTGCATTTTTCCAAGATTCCTTTGCTGTTTCAATGCACGGTTTCTGCCATGAAAAAATATAAATTTAGCGAATGTAACAAATGAATAAGTTGGTAACACAGTCGAGTAACATTCAGTTTATTAAGGTTTGATATGGTCTAAACGAGAGGTATTGCAGTCGCACTCAGATTATACTGAGGTCTGATTCGGTTTAAATGAGAGGTATGAGAAGTAACTCTCAGTCACACTCAGTTTACTGTTCGTTATATTCCACAGTTCCTTTCTCTTTTGTAGGAACCTATAACTGTTTTTAATGGTGATATTGAGTACCAGGGATTGTTAAAAACTGAGTCATTAGATAATGCAATTCATTCTAGAGCTCTGATTGGCTTAACCATCATATGGTATATGAGCTATTATACCACGCTCTCCAAATATGGTAACTGCACGCGTCCGCTCAAAGAAGCCGGGAAGACTTCTCGATATTTTGTGGGTGTTTTTGATAAAAAAAAAAAATATTCCACTCGCACTTGTTAGTATGAGATGATTATAGCCAACTCGGCGTTACACGCCTCGTTGGCTATCTACCATCTCATATCCAAAGCGCACTCGTGGAATAATTAATTGTTACTTAGAACTCTTTATATTTACCATCCATTCTGGGGATTTTTCTTGATGATCGTTAGCAGGTATAGTGTCTTCAGGTAGTCCGTTGTCTCTTAGTATCCGTGTCATTCTTTCATCGTGACGCTTATCCAAAAACTGAAACACGGCTTTGTGAAAAGCCATGTGTTCAGCAGTGACATAAGCCGCACAGGCGGTCAGGAGAAGAACAGCTATGAAAGTCTTCATTGTCCCTTCAAGATGGGTGCAATTAACACTGTACTTTCCTGGCAAAAACAGGTCCTTATGTAGCGAAAACAGAACGGCTGGTCATTCTTTGCGGCTGCGCAGTAGCACGTGTGTAAATATTGGTTAAAACAAAAGATTCTAAAGAAATCATTTTTGTTTTCAGCCAGCTTTGTTTAAATATCATTAGCTTAAACTAACACTCTAAGTGTGAGCAATGCCCAAGATAATGATATTTACACAGATTTACTGACAATAAAATTCGCAAGAAATTCTTGCAATTTGGAGACTAAATTAATACTAGCTAACTTACGGGGGTTTTTTTATTATTCTTTTGTCTTTTCATTTCATGTTTTTTTTTTAATGTAGGGAACGAGCTTTGTATTTACTGAGTTACACTGCTTGCCTTATCCCCGGGGTATTTTCCTTCCAAAAAATTACTCTCCATCGGTAAAAATGTTAAAGCAGCTGTGCTTGAATATCGTATGCTGAGGTTTATTTACATTACAAGTGTTAATTAAAGAAAACCACAGTTAATGATAAATGCACATGCAGAGGGTCAAAATTTTACCTACCATGACTTTAACTTGACCTTAAAGTTAACATTACAAGTGTTAAAGAAGGTAAGTTTTACTAATGTTTGCTTGAAAAGTCACAACTGCGATAATATCTACTCAAAAGGTGAAGGTCAAACCAGCAAAACTAACCAGAAAGTAACCAGTTGACTTATATTAATTACAGTCTGCTAGTAGCTGCATGAGTAATTAATTCAAGTTAATTGCCTACTAACCGAGTCTTTTCTTTTCGAGAGAGTTATCAAAGGGATGAGATTCGAGCCACTTCATTTCAATTAAAAGAGTAGGCAGCTTTTTGTCGATGTTTGCTTGAAAGGCCAAATGTGATAATATTTACTAAGGAGGCTAGATCAACGAACCTCAGCTCTTATGTTTATTTTACTTAGTAATTAACCAACTAACTTATAAGCATACTTTATTTGCCAAATTTACTCTCGCGTCGAGAGAGTTATCAAACCAAAAGCCAGGAAGACGAGTTTTTAAGCTATTTCTGATTTTATTTTAAAGAAAGCAGGTTTTAACGGTGTTTGCTCATGAGGTCAAAAATGGTATAATATTTACTCAGGAGGGTACGTCATTTAGCGTAGTTTATAGAGCTCAAGTGGGGTTTAATTATGATGCCGAGTTACAAGATATATATTGGTATGGGAAATATTTAACCTGAGATCAAGCTCTGGTTTGGTTTCACCCATTGACATTGGAAAAAATTGGGCCTGTTATCAGGCGGCATAAAAAGATACGAGAACAAATTCAGAAATGAAGCACACACATCGCCTGGGGCTATGCCATGCTGTTGAGGACGAAAAATAGGAGCCCATAACCGGTGGGAGAAACTCTCATACTAGGCCCAGGTCACGGGCGTGTTTACCGGGAAACGGTTTATATATTTTTCGATACATTGTAGAGCACTTTTTCCCGCAATAGAGGAAACTCCGTTCCGTCCATGAGCCCATTCAAAGTATGAAAAAGGAAAACTAAACGTCGTGAAAACGTCAAAAATACCATTTTTCAGGTCTTTAATGGATCTGGTAACCGTGGTTTGTGGGACTTAAATGGTATCCTAAATTCGAGCCAAATGAATATCATTCTTTAAATAAACTGGTCAGTGAAAACGTCGAGGCACGAGTACATATAACATAAATTCTGACTGAGGTCAGAATTAAACTAAATTACGGTTTGCAGACGAAAGCACCACGTGACGTTTTTTCAGCTAGCACACAAGCAAGTAGATTAAACACTGAGTAGATCATCATGACCCCAGGGAAAATAAGGTCACAATTGTGGCCCCCCGTGCAAATATCGTAATTAACACTTCTTTGCTTAACATAGAGTATATCCTTCGGAGGTCGTGGAAGAGGTACTCCACCACAAATATGGACTTCCTGTGTAAACGTCATTAACCCGCTTCGAAACAAACACGTGTATAATCACCGTGGCTTTAATTGAAGGTAACCATCTAGCAAAAGAAAGAGGAAAAACCGTTCGAACTTAAGGAAGCTTGTAACAACTGTTTTCAGGAAGAAAACAGAAAGTACCTCTTTATCACTTATAAATAAACTGTTTACTAAGTTTGTTCATAACATGTATATAAGCCGAAGAGAAAACATAGCATTACTTCCTGAAAACTTTTGGGGATAGCAAGTATCATTCTCTCATCATCCGAAATAAAACAACTTTATTAAAATAAACTAAAAATATTGGAATATATATCTTGCCGGATTGTTTGAAAACACCACCGCCAAATAGACCTGGCCTTTTGCGTCCAACAGGTTTTTTTTTTTTTTTTGGCCAAAAAGAGTGCAACCATTGCTTTTTCTTCACTCAATTGACTGCAAATTTCGTTAGGTTGGTTTTCAAAAATGGGTAAGATATACAGGTGATAGGTCTCGACAAAGTTTCATTTATTTCTTTGATAATCGCCTTTCGAACACTCGCTGTGTACCTCGCTTTTTTATTCCACCTTATTCAATTTTAAGCGCATTGAGTGCCCTGATGCAACCAACATTACTAATTTTATCACCCATGTATCAAAAACTATATTTTTTCGAAAAAAAAGGATGATCAACAGTTAAAGATAAGTTCAACCGGCAGTTTTGAGTAGAAGTAGGATTACTATGGAAGTAGCTATATTTTCATTAAAAAAACGTTCTTCACTTTAAATTCTTTTCCCTTTCACTAAAGGCAAGAATTTAGCCCCCGGCAAAGATAAAATTACTGGCAAAGGATAGAACATGACAGAAATGAGGCGAAAATTTCATGAACGACAAGCTCTGAAAAGGACAGTTCAGTACATTCTAAAACGCAGGGAAGGAAAATCTTAACTTGGGTAGAGACCATGGATCCTCTTAGCATGTGGCCTTTGCAACAAATTGAAAAGTAAATTTACTAATTAAAACAAGAGTGCAAAAAGAAAAGACTTCCTTTATAAAATGTTACTGTGTTGTAATTTTACTTACAAAGGGGCTTTTGTACCTCTTTCATGGAGGGAGTACAAAAGCTAAGACTTCGATAATAAAACGGTTGTTACGGTTTTAATATTATACACAAGTGCTTTTCAATACCTTTTTGGGAGGAGTACAAAAGCTAACTAATTTGTTTACTTCGTTCTGAAAGCTGTTAAAACAAAATTTAAGCAGATTGTCAAATTTACCTAAGCATGCGCAAAAAGTGTTCGATGGTCTATATAAACAAGAACTGATTCCGTCGTGCACATAAGTGTCTCAGGAACACCGAGGAGTATCCAGAATCATGAACGTCAAGATAGCTTTGCTGTTTTTTGTTGCAGTGGCATTTTACGCCAAGGCCGAGCTCGAGACGGAGTATCATCCACAAGCCGTCCTACACTATCTCGAGATGGAAGATAGGAAAATGGCAGAGAAAGTTCGAAGCATTGTCAAGGTAAAGGAGGACGGTCCCAAACTCAGCAGCTCACCAAAACTTCCAGGTGGCCTCCCTAACGGAATTCCACCCAAAATCGTGAGTATCAGGGCATAAAAATGCTTTTTGTGGATAAGAGTTTATAGCCTTACAACCAGAAAAATCTGAATAACAAACAAAAACAAAAACATTGAGTAAAATATGGCAACAAATGACTGAAATGCGAAATAGTTTAGAGAATTTTCCGTATGTGTTTCTGCCATATATATATATAGCTTTTAACTATAGCGTTTTCCATCTGAGGGCATGATTACCACCATTACATACAATGCAAGCTGTTTATGATAGATTGAAATAATTAGATGAGAGTTTGTCGGCAAAATAAAAATATATTGATACGATCTTGAATCAGATAAATTCTTAGTTTTTTGTTCAGTCTATTTTGTAGGTTTCAGAAATTATAGCTACACAAAACTCATTTACATTCACCGCAGAATCACAGTGTAGAGTTCTGACCTGTAGCTTGACGATTTCACTCTCAGACTTACTTGAGAAGAAACCAAAGTTAAGAATAGATTATAGTCTACTTTTTAAGGAGAATAAGGAGGAGGAGCCTGGTGGCGAAGTTTAGGCAGCCAAGGTCTTATTCACTTATTCATTTATTTATTCCATTATTTGCCTATTTTTCGTTCCTGTCGCTGGGGAATTTGCTTTAGCATTTTTTGCTGGCGAAAAAAGAAACACAAAGGATTTAATGAATTCAGCCATTTATTTAATGCAGCACATAAAGCTGGAAAATCGTGGAAACACACAGGAAAAAACTCATTGCAGTACGGCAAACATAAATGTGCAAGCGGCACTGCGCATGCACCACACCAGGAGAAAAATAAAACGGTCAGGAGGAGCGAGCGCACAGGTCTTGCACCTCGGTTTTTAGACTTGAGAATTTTCATCTTAAATTCAAAAATTCTCAAGTTTTTGTTTGTTTGTCTTTTTTTAGAAACTTTGCATCGTTGGAGCAGTGATATGCCATAAAAGAGCAAATGAGGACGCTTGTGCACATCTAGCGTGCATCAAGAAAACGGGAGAATGCCTGAAAAAAGCGGGTGTAAAAGTTTGCCAAATGCCTCCAGCTAAAGTAAGTGTTGATAAAACGTTTGCGAATAGACCTAACTGTATGCAAGACGTTTAAAAAATCTCAGGCAGTAGGGCGGGTTGGTTGTTACAGTGACAGCCAAAGCTCTGTGGGATGAGCGAACACTCAGTCTCGTGAATTGTCTACTTGCAGCCACCGTGTAAATTAAACGTACAAGCGACTTTTTTTAATTCTAAGCTTACTGTTTCCCGTGGTTGCAGTAGTCTAGCATTTTGGTATTTCTGTACTCCAAACTATCTCTACTACATAACAGCTGAGCCCGTAAGAATTGGTTTAGCAAAGTCTTAAGCCGGAAAAGGAAAGGATCGTGACTTATTACCAAACACGCCATGGATCGGCGTGGAGCTCTCAAAAGTCATATGGAGAAGTTGGAAGTTATCTTCCAGCTTTCTTTTTTCTATTCTCTTTGTTTGAAGGCGTCCGAGGCTAGTCAGAAGACGAGGAAGTTCGCAAACCAGTATAGCTTGCATTACCTAAGTTTAATCTCACCCTGTTGACAATTATGCTATCCATTTGTGTTTTGTCCTATTCAAGAAAAAATGTCTACCAGTCATCCCGTGCTGCATGCTGGGAAGCAAGACCTGCGAGGAGAAGCTGTGCTGTTTTGTGAGGTTCCATGAATGCACCAAAAGACTTGGCGACGAAAAAGACAAAAAGTAATTCACTCGACAAGACCCTAGGAAATGATTATCTCTCGAAACACGAAATCGGAAAATGAAGGGGAAATATACCTGCACAAATGTAGTTTTATATCGATATCAGTTGTCATAAGTGAAAAAGTGTAACAAGAAAAGAGCCTGATTGTGATTAAACTGAGGTCTATAATCTTGGTTTTAGTTTGGTTTTTGCCGATTTCCGTAAGCAAAGTATACCTTTCCACAGTCGAGGATAATTTCCAATGTTCTCGTTGTAGAAAAACCGTGTCAGGCTTCTCGAACTAATTATAACTCCACATGTTATGGCTGTACGAGCTCATTTTCCGAAACAAACTATATTTTTGCGTAGTCATATCTTACTTGTGTCGCAGGGGAGAAGTGACTGAGCTTAAAAATGATCCTTTTTTCACTCGGCATGAGCCAAACATAGCATGAATCAAGGACAAACTGTTGCTAGGTGTAACACATTTTTTGGCAGCGATCGCCACAAAACTGGAAGTGCCCTCGCACTAAGAGAAACCAAACTGACGTGGAGGTCAGAATCCCCTTTTCTGGTAGGCCCAATTATTCATAAAAGACAAGGAAGATTATGCTTTAACCTGAGAAATGTTCAGATTTTAGTCACATTATATACGATGATATATTACCAAATTTGAAATCTCTCAATCGTCTTTTCAAATCCAGTAGAATGGCCTCATATCCACTGATATATATTCCTGCTGTTCATCTTCGAGCCACATCATCAAACGCAGAAAATTGACCACAATAATATTAATGTAAAGTAATTCACGTACAAAAAAATTGGATTACTCTGCAAATCACAATGAGCTACATATGGAACTCTTAGCCATTCCAGTTACAATCGCATATATCAAGTAATAAATCGCTAACTATGTTGAAAATTTGTCCTCTAAGTTAAGCGAAAACCTCACAACAAACCAGTTCTGCAGATAAACTTAATAGCATTTTTAGGGGGGGAGGGGGGAGAGGGAGGGATGGGGGTGGGGTAGGCTGTTGCACTGGCAGACCCGTAATCAACTAAGCACGTTGAAAAAGTCTATGGCCATTTGCAAAGTGTTCATTATTCATTTCAAATCTGACATAAGTTTAACGTCCGGTTTCTTCCCGTCTAATCCAAAGCCCGGTACCTCATTTTACCCAAGGTCAAGCCAGATTTTCAGTTTCTTAGAAAGTAAGTAAGTACTTATATATAGAGTTAGCCAGGGTTAAAATCGAAGTTCTCGATAATATTTATAGTTTCTTCAAAATAAATATAAAATCGAGTAATGCTAAGCGCGGCGAAGGCAACGCCGGAGTACGGTGAAAAACAACAACAGGTCTTATTAGCAAAAAAGCAACTTCGCACGTGCAGCACACTTTTTTTGTACAGTCATTTCTTTGCCATTGTTTTGCACGACTGCAACGTGAAACTTCCAGAAACATCTTAGTTATACGTTTTATGGAGGAAATGTCGTCCGTGTACACGTTCACTCTTTTTTCACTGCACTCATTTTCACCTTGCATGTATTGGTGGCCACTAGAATTTCTCATTTTGTCACCGCCGCTATGAAATTTTTTATGCTGTTCCTCCAACAAAAAAATGTCTCCTTTGTTTTTTATCTCTCGCTCTAGATCTTAGTTGCCCTTTTTCTATTTGAGCTTCGCTGGCCTGCCGCCTACTTTCTCTTTTTCTTTGTCTTTCTCTTGCTCTATATTCCAAATCTGGGGACATGACAATTAGTCTAAGCTTAATACTTTGGACAACACGCATACAGAAACAATTTCCGCGTTTCGTTTTTCATCGACTCTTTAGTTGTCTCTGCTTTACAAGACGCCGGTGGCTATGCGATTTCCCGCCAAAATAACCTCGAGTTGCATTTGGGTTGCCATACCTGTTGATTGAGTTATTCTACATTGGTCTGCCTTTGGTGCGGACGGATGGGTGGGCACGCGTGTCGATGGTCACGTGATTACCAAATTTTATCGGATGGGTAGATTTCTTCATTTTCTTACACATGGTGCTACGCTGCGCACGCTTCGCTCGCGAAAGCCCCGCTACGGAACACACAACTGGAGTTTGCAGAATACTGCACAGTTTTTAATCCGAGTTCCTGATGGCAAAATAGAAAGCAAATGCAATTTTCGATTAAAAAATTTGATTCTCGAAAGCAGACTTTCGCTGCCCAGCCTCGTGCCCACGGTCTTTTTTTGAAAACCGGGAGAACATGTTATGGATACATGAAGCAGTTTAGAAGAACGCAATTCACCGCTGACAGGGAAGTCTGTACCTGTCTCCACCACTCATCCCGCTCCGCTGGCATGCACTACATGGTAGCACACCATATAGTCGTGCAACATAAATTAATTGAACATTGTGCACAGCGTTTTGTAAGCAATACGCACTTCTCAAAACTACTTCTTTTCTGTACTTATTAGTCCTTTAGTATCCTAACCAGTCCTTTTCCGTCCTTACTAGTCCTTTAAAGACCTTACTAGTCCTGTATCATCCTAACTTGTCCTTTTCCGTCCTCACTAGTCCTTTTCCGTCCTTGCTAGTCCCTTTCCGTCCTTGCTAGTCCTTTTCTATCCTTACTAGTCCTTTAATATCCTTACTAGTCCTTTTACGTACTTACTGGTCCTTTAATATCCTTACTAGTCCTTTTATGTCCTTTTAAGTCCTTATTAGTCCTTTTATGTCCTCACTAGTCCTTTTCTGTCCTTACTAGTCCTTTTCTGTCCTTATTAGTCCTTTTCCGTCCTTACTAGTCCTTTTCTGTCCTTACTAGTCCTCTAGTGTCCTAACTAGTCCTTTAATGTCCTTACTAGTCCTTTTATGTCCTTACTAGTCCTTTTCCGTCCGTACTAGTCCTTTTCCGTCCTTACTAGTGCTTTTATGTCCTAACTAGTCCTTTTCCGTCCTTACTAGTCCTTTTCTGTCCTTACTAGTCCTCTAGTGTCCTAACTAGTCCTTTAATGTCCTTACTAGTCCTTTTATGTCCTTACTAGTCCTTTTCCGTCCGTACTAGTCCTTTTCCGTCCTTACTAGTCCTTTTATGTCCTTACTAGTTATTTTACGTCCTTACTGGTCCTTTTCTGTCCTTACTAGTCCTTTTATGTCCTTACTAGTCCTTTTCTGTCCTTACTTGTCCTTTTGTGTCCTTACTAGTACTTTTCCGTCCTTATTAGTCCTGTTCCGCCCTTACTAGTCCTTTTCTGTCCTTACTAGTCCTTTAGTGTCCTAACTAGTCCTTTAACTTCCTTACTAGTCCTGTATCATCCTAACTTGTCCCTTAATGTCCTAACCAGTCCTTTTTTGTCCTTACTTGTCCTTTTGTGTCCTCACTAGTCCTTTTCCGTCCTTACTAGTCCTTTTATGTCCTTACTAGTCCTTTTCCGTCCTTACTAGTCCTGTTCCGTCCTTACTAGTCCTTTTCTGTAATTACTCGTCCTTTAGTGTCCTAACTAGTCCTTTAATGTCCTTACTAGTCCTGTATCATCCTTACTTGTCCTTTTCTGTCCTAACCAGTCCTTTTAGGTCCTTACTAGTCCTTTTCCACCCTTACTAGTCCTTTTATGTCCTTAATAGTCCTTTTCCGTCCTTACTAGTCCTTTTATGTCCTTACTAGACCTTTTCCGTCCTTACTAGTCCTTTTCTGTCCTTATTAGTCCCTTTCCGTCTTTACTAGTCCTTTTCTGTCCTTACTAGTCCTTTTCCGCCCGTACTAGTCCTTTTATGTCCTTACTAGTCCTTTTCCGTCCTTACTTGTCCTTTTCCGTCCTAACCAGTCCTTTTATGTCCTTACTAGTCCTTTTCCGTCCTTACTAGTCCTTTTCTGTCCTTACTTGTCCTTTTCTGTCCTTACTAGTCCTTTGATGTCCTTCCTAGTCCTTTTCCGTCCTTACTAGTCCTTTTCCGCCCTTACTAGTCCTTTTCTGTCCTTACTAGTCCTGTATCATCCTAACTTGTCCCTTAATGTCCTAACCAGTCCTTTTTCGTCCTTACTTGTCTTTTCATGTCCTCACTAGTCCTTTTCCGTCCTTACTAGTCTTTTTATGTCCTTACTAGTCCTTTTCCGTCCTTACTAGTCCTTTTCCGTCCTTATTAGTCCTTTTCCGTCCTTACTAGTCCTTTTCTGTCCTTACTAGTCCTTTTCTGTCCTTACTAGTCCTGTATCATCCTAACTTGTCCCTTAATGTCCTTACTAGTCCTTTTCCGTCCTTACTTGTCCTTTTGTGTCCTTACTAGTACTTTTCCGTCCTTATTAGTCCTGTTCCGCCCTTACTAGTCCTTTTCTGTCCTTACTAGTCCTTTAGTGTCCTAACTAGTCCTTTAACTTCCTTAATAGTCCTGTATCATCCTTACTTGTCCCTTAATGTCCTAACCAGTCCTTTTTTGTCCTTACTTGTCCTTTTGTGTCCTCACTAGTCCTTTTCCGTCCTTACTAGTCCTTTTATGTCCTTACTAGTCCTTTTCCGTCCTTACTAGTCCTGTTCCGTCCTTACTAGTCCTTTTCTGTAATTACTAGTCCTTTAGTGTCCTAACTAGTCCTTTAATGTCCTTACTAGTCCTGTATCATCCTTACTTGTCCTTTTCTGTCCTAACCAGTCCTTTTAGGTCCTTACTAATCCTTTTCCGCCCTTACTAGTCCTTTTATGTCCTTAATAGTCCTTTTCCGTCCTTACTAGTCCTTTTATGTCCTTACTAGACCTTTTCCGTCCTTACTAGTCCTTTTCTGTCCTTATTAGTCCCTTTCCGTCTTTACTAGTCCTTTTCTGTCCTTACTAGTCCTTTTCCGCCCGTACTAGTCCTTTTATGTCCTTACTAGTCCTTTTCCGTCCTTACTTGTCCTTTTCCGTCCTAACCAGTCCTTTTATCTCCTTACTAGTCCTTTTCGGTCCTTACTAGTCCTTTTTTGTCCTTACTTGTCCTTTTCTGTCCTTACTAGTCCTTTGATGTCCTTACTAGTCCTTTTCCGTCCTTACTAGTCCTTTTCTGTCCTTATT